AATGTTGGATCAGGCCAAAGGCCCATCCAGTCCAACACTCTGTGTCACACAGTGGCCAGAAATACCAGGTGCCATCAGGAGGTCCAGCAGTGGGGCCAGGACACCAGAAGCCCTCCCACTGTTGCCCCCCCCCCAAGCACCAAGATGACAGAGCATCACTTGCCCCAGAGCCCCCATCTATCCCTTGTGGCTAATATCCACTGATGGACCTCTGCTCCATATGCTTATCTAATTCCCTCTTGAAGCCGTCCATGCCTGTAGCTGCCACCGTCTCCTGTGGCAGTGAATTCCATGTGTTAATCATTCTTTGGGTGAAGAAGTACTTCCTTTCATCCGTTCTAACCCGACCGCTCAGCCTTTCATGGAGTGCCCACAAGGAGTTCTTGTACTGTGAGAAAGGGAGAAAAGTACCTCTTTCTCTACCTGCTCTATCCCATGCATAATCTTATGAACCTTATAAGATTAGACGTCTTTGTACGGATTTCAATGAGACTTTTAAGTTTTATAATATAATTTGGTGATACTGTCCTCCTTAAACCTTTGGAGAAACAATTACAGCGTTAATAACAATTACAGCTCTAATAATAAAATCACACAGGAAAAGCAGTTAAGAGCAGAGCGAAAGTTCATGGACGACACCCCAAACAGCAAATTAAAACGGTAAGGCAGGGAGGAGGGATCCTGAAGGGTATCCTCGCCGGAAGAGGAAAGTCTTCAACTGCTGGTGAACTACTGTCATGATAATTACTGCCAGGTAATTAGATAAACCTATGGAGCAGAGGTCCATCCGTGGCTCTTAGCCACAAGGTCTAGATAGGAACTCACAGGCTGGGGCAAGGGGCGCTCCGTCTTCTTGGTGCTTGGGGGGGCAACAGTGGGAGGCCTTCTAGTGTCCTCCTGGCCCCACTGCTGGACCTCCTGATGGCACCTGGTATTTCTGGCTACTGTGTGACAAAGAGTGTTGGACTGAATGGGCCACTGGCCCGATCCAGCATTGGCTTCTCTCATGTTCTTATGTCTGGGGCAAGGGACGCTCTCTCATGTTCTTATGTCTGGGGCAAGGGACGCTCTGTATTCTTGGTGCTTGGGGGGGGCACAGTGGGAGGGCTCCTAGTGTCCTGGCCCCACTGCTGGGCCTCCTGAAGGCCCCTGGTATTTGTGGCCACTTTGTGACTCAGAGTGTAGGACTGGAGGGGCCACTGGCCTGATCCAGCATTGGCTTCTCTCATGTTCTTATGTCTGGGGCAAGGGATGTGTCAGGAGCTCCTGTCTACGAAAGGGGAAGACACACCAAACCGGGAGGAAAAGGCCACTACCACCATCTGGGGAACAGGAAGGGCCAGGAATATCAGCAGGGCGCTACGAAGACAGCATCAAGACAGAGAAGAGACCCGACACCGAGAAGGAGGAGATACCCGAGCGGCCCAAGCAGAGAA